CTGTTTCCCAAGATGGCGTGGTCGCTGTGCCTGTGCTGGCCGCCCAGGAGTGTCCGCGCCGGGAGCGGGACTCCGCCGCCTAAGACTGCCGGGTTTAGCAGCCCCTCAGAAGACCTGCAGAATCTAACTGTCCCTAGCTCATACACACACACCACACAAGTCCACACACTCCTCTATCACTTCCTTGCACTCTCACACTCTCTCCCTCCCTACCTTCCTGCTGGTCGCCATTTTTCTACCCCCCTAAATTCTTTATGTATTCTGGATGCCCATCATTTACGGGTTATATGACTTGCAAATATCATCTACTTTTGACTCATCTCTTAACACTCCATTAAGCATGAAACATAATTTATATCTGCATCTAACTTATATGTACAATATAACAGTATACAGTGAACACTCATGGAATTAGAAATCATGTAAAAAAAACAGAACACAAATTGCTCTGCAAAAACCCCTATTTGACCTCCCTGGTTACACTTTCTTCATGCTTATGTCTCCTAATGTTTATGTAATAATTTCCTGTATTTTCTTTGTAGTTTTAGACCAATATATGACTTCTTAAAAATGTAACTGAGTTTTGCCTTTTTATAACATATAATCATATAGACATATTTATATTTTTTGTTTCTTTTACTTAATCTATAATAATAAAAGCATAATATGCTAATTAGATCACATGTCCTTCCAGATGAAGCTGGGGCTGCAAGGGAAGCTGGTGCAGCAGCTGGGGGGAGGAAGGCCTACTCTTGCAGGAATTTCGTGCATTAGGCCTCTAGTATATTTATAATCAGTGTATAAGATTTTATGTAGCTTTATAATTCTCCCTTAGGAATACAATTATTTCCTTATTTTGCTGAGCCTAATTTTTGGCAAAAATAAGCAAAATTTCCATAAATATTCTTTTATTCATTCCAGAGCAGCGGTCGCCAATCGGTGGTCTGCGGATACTGGTGGTCAGTGAGGTCTGAAAGGTTGGCGACCTCTGTTCTAGAGAATACAATCATGCCTTTCTGTAGGTGATACAGTTAGGAATGGGACTGCTTGGTGACAAGGTATGTAAAACTTCAACTTGATTTGATAACATCCTCCTAATTCCACAGTGGTTTTACCAGTTCACATTTTCACTCAGTGTGTGAAGATCTTTGATATTTCACATCATTAGGACCTGGCATTACCAAATTTGTTGATCTCACTGCATATCATGCATCTCTCTTATCTCACCTCATATATTTTTTGCACTCTGTGAAAACTAATAAAGTTAATCATTTTCAAAGATTTAATTGGCCATTTCAAAGTTCCTATTCAACATCTCTAGCCTATTTTTGCAACTGGATTGTTACCTTTTCCTATATTGACCTGCAAAAGTTCTTACATTTTCAGATGTGTATCCTTCTTAGGTTACTTGTGCTGCATGACTATTCTGCTACTCTGTGGCTTGTCTTTTCATCCTTTTAATGGTTCTTCATGAACAAAGTTCTCAATTTTAATTTAGTAAAGTTTTTTAATCATTTCCTTCTATTGGTGCTTTTTGTGCCTTTTAAAAGTCTTGAAATACATAGGTGTTCATTGCTAAGCTGACCTTCTAGAGCAGGGGTGGGCAACCTTTCTGTGAGTGCGTGGCAAAACCAGCAAAATCTCTGATTCAAAATTCTTCTGCGTGCCAACCCTAATTTTTTGAGAACATGTTACGCCTACTTGATATCTCTTAAGGTGTATGTATGTGAAGAACCTTGAAGAAATAATAAAATTCATTCAAGCGACAAAAACACAGTATATGATGATGAAAAATACATTTATTTTTTAATGTATACATGTACACTGATAGTCCGACAGAAAACTTTACGACTCCGTTTGATATCAGTGGGCCTTTTGCTGCTGCATCACTGATGACAGAGATTTTACATCAGGTTTATATTTCGTGACCTTCAGAGATATGCACGAGCTACTACTTTCATCCATCAGGCTACTCCTATTATGAGACTTAACAAAATTCATCACTGAGAACAAAGATTCACAATTGTAAATGGAAGATTATAAGAGAGGGTTTGGCGTGCCAGCAAAAGTTACTGGCGTGCCATGTTTGGCATGTGTGCCAGGGGTTGCCCACCCCTGTTCTAGAGTCTAATTAGTGCCACCAAATTCTATCTGCTGGTGCTCAGTAACTCACCTTGGTGGCCTTGATTTGAGAATTCTTCCTCTAAGAACCAAGGCTCTTCTCCTTGCTCCAACTTGAAGATGACCTCTGGTTTGAAAAGGCAGTTCCCTAGAAGTAGGAACAATGGAGTACTTAGGGCAGAGGATAAGCTTTTTGGTCTCCAAAAGTGGAAAAAGATGCAGCTTCAGGAAGAGCAGCCTGAAGATCCTCATTGAATTTATCATTGGGAGTTGAGAGCAAATTCCTCAACAGGGCTTAGTTACTTTATACTCCTGAATGAAAACCCTAGGTAAAGTATCCATGTGTAGTACTGCTTAAAAAAGAAATGCCTTCTAGACAGAGTTACAAAAGTAAGTTGTGCGCTATGCTCACCCACTGCGATGAGGTTGTTGTAGTTCTCCAGCGTCACATCTCTGTAAAGCGTCCTTTGAATAGGACCCATGTGCTGCCACTCCTCCTGGGTGAACTCCACAGTCACGTCCCTGAATGACACTGATGCCTGCATACACTTCTGTTCAATTTGAAGGGTTCAGAATTAGGTGACAGAAAAATACATATGAAAACAATTCTTATGTTTACTGTAAAGAGCTTAAAACACAAATGAAAATAAAAATGCCTATTTAGGGTCTAATTTATACTTTGGAGTTAATTAGTAAAAGTATTTATAACTTATTGTATATATTTTTGAGTTATATACATGTTCAATCAATAAGCACATTAGTAAAGATTTTGTTGCTTGAATTTTAGCAAAAAAAATATAAAGTTCCTACAATTTTTATCCCACACCCTCAATATACAACCCCAGGTATACATACTTAGGCGAGGGTCAGCAAACATGACGTTGGCCAATTTCAGTTTGCCACTTTTTCAATTTAGCTTTATAGGGACATAGTCACATACACCCAGTTATTTAGTTGCTCTTGTGCTGAGCTAGCACTGCCTAGTAGTTCCGTAAGAGACCTTGTAACTACTAAAGGAAGATATGTACTCTCTGGTCCATTATAGAACAAATTTGTCAACTTCTGGATTAACCAATCCAATTAAAGGAAAGATTGACAGTATAAGAACAACAAATCAAACAGAATTTATAGAGCCCAGCTGGTGTGGCTCAGTGGCTGAGTGTCAACCCACGCACCAGGAGGTTACCAGTTTGATTCCCAGTGAGGGCATATGCCAGGGTTGCGGGCTTGATCCCCACCCAGCAGGGAGCATGCAGGAGGCAGCCCATCAATGTTGTTTCTCTCATTGTTTCTCTCTCTCTCTCTCTCTCTCTCTCTCTCTCTCTCTCCTTTCCTTTCCTTTCCTTTCCTTTCTCTCTAGAAAAAAAAAATCAATAAAAACGTATTTAAGCCCTAGTTGGTTTGGCTAAGTGGATAGAGCGTTGGCCTGCAGACTGAAGAGTCCCGGGTTCGATTCTGGCCAAGGGCACATGCCTGGGTTGTGGGCTCGATCCCCAGTAGGGGGTGTGCAGGAGGCAGCCAATCAATGATTTTCTCTCATCATTGATGTTTCTCTCTCTCTCTCCCTCTTCCTTCCTCTCTGAAATCAATTAAAAAAAAGTATTTAAAAAAACAACACAATTTGTAGAGAGTGATATATTTAGGTTGAAAGTAAGAGGATGGAAAAAAGATACACAAGTAATCACCAACATAAAGAAAATTGATTTGGTTATATTAACATAAATAGCAGATTTGAAGGTAAGAACGAATGATAAAAACATAATGAATAACAACATAAAGATAAAATGGTCCTTTTAACAGAAAATATAACAAATTGGTGTGCACTTGAAAATATAGCTTCCAAATATAGTCTATCCTTATTATTCAGAGATTCTGTATTTGCAAATTCACCTACTCACTAAAAGTTACTTGTAACCTCAAAATCAATACTCATGAATTTGTGGTCATTTATGGACATTGACAAAATGGTGAAAAATTTGAGTGCCCAATACAAGTTTTCCCAGCTGAGGTTGAACAGGATAATGCTTTGCCTTCGTGTTTCAGCTGTCACAGAGTAAACACGTGTCTTTTTTGCAGTTTATTTAGCATTTTTTTTCTGCTTTTTCTTGTGATTTCACTTTGTAAAACAGCCCCCCTGCGAAATGCTGCCTAATATTCCTGAGTGTAAGAAGATTGTGCTCTGCCTTATGGAGAAAACAGGGGTGTTAGATAAGCTTTGTTCAAGCATTAATTATGGTGCTGTTGGCTGTTAGATCATGAATCAACAATAATATCAAATAAGGTGTTTTCAAACAAAAGCACATATAAAAAGATTATGTACTGATTGATTGTCCCAAATGTTGTGACCAGAGGCTAAAAGGAACCTAACCTTGTATTTCCCCTCGGAGTAAAAATTCAATATTTGCTTATTCAGTGTTCATGGTAACTTATAACATAATTACTGAGAATAATTAGAATTAACTGTATATAAATAAAAGTTAACAGAAATTAGATAGACAGACCCACAGTTATCATTAGTGATTTTAACACAACTCAGTAACTGACAGGACAAGCAGTCTGAAAAACAAACAAAAGGTAATTGGAAGAGGGGTCAGCAGACTATAGCCCAGAAGCCAAATCTGACCACTACTGGTTCTTTTCTAAGTAAAATTTTATTGGGACACAGTCACATTCCTCTGTTTATGTGTTATTTATAGTTGCTATAGCACTAAAACTGTAGAGTTTGGTAGTTCCAACAAAGCCTACTATCTGACATTTACATAAAGTTTGCTGACCACTGTTACAGAAAATTTAAATGATTGACCAACTTGATTAATGAAATATATAGGATAACCTGATCATAACATAAATTATTCTTATGCACTTTGCACATTAAAATGCAAAAACAGTAAGTCTCACAAAATCAGAAAAAAACTGCATCCAGAGTGGCTTTGAATTTTTGCTCAGAGATGTAGAGCTGAAAGGAGCAGTGCAGTCACGCACCACTTAACAATGGGGACATGTTCTAAGACATGCTTTCTTAGGCAATTTCATTGCTGTGTGAACATCATGTAGTGTACTTACACAAACCTGATGGTATAGCCGAAAGCACACCTAGGCTATATGATATGCCAGCATTATATATGCACATCATTATGTGGCGCATGACTGTAGTAACATCATTACAACAAGAAAAAAGCTGGGCTAATTGAAAATTAATGTCTACAAATATTAAAGAATCTACAAAAATCTATTAGAGCTAAAAAATGAATTCCGCAACTTTTAGGATTCAAAATGAACACACTAAAACCATTTATTGTTCATTGTTAGTGTATTCCTATATACTAACAATGAACTACAAAAAGTTTAATAAAATAATTGCATTTACAATGTCAAATACTTAGGCATTCAACACTAGAAGACATTGCTAAGAGGAATTAAAGAAGACCTAAATAAATGGAAAGTCATTTTATGTTCATGGATTGGAAGATTTAATACTGTTACAATGGTAATACTCACAAAAGTGATCTACAGATTCAGTGAAATCTGTATCAAAACCCCAATGGCTTATTTTGTAGAAATGTCAATCCTAACACTCATATTGAAATCACAAGGGACCCTTGAGTACCCAAAACAATCTTAAAAGAATAACAAAGTTTGAGGACTTGAATTTCCTGGTTTCAAAACTTAACTATAAAGCAACAGTAATTAAGACAGTGTGGTATTGGTGCAGATATATGGATCCATGGAATAGAACTAATAGTCTAGAAATAAACTCATTCATGCAATCATTTCATAGGAAAATAATAGTCTTTTCAACAAATGATGCTGGGAAAACTGGATAGCTACATGCAAAAGAATGAAGTTGAAATCCTACTCATACCACATTTAAAAATTTATCTCAAAATGAATCAAAGACCTAAATATAAGTTTAAGATATGAAACTCTTGGAAGAAATGGGAGATAAATCTTCATGACCTTGGATTTGACAATGCTTTCCCAGATGCTACACCAAAAACAGAAGAAACCAAAGAAAAAAAAATAATCTGGATTTAATAAAAGTTAAAAACTGCATCAAAGGACACATTCAAGATAGTGAAAAGACAACCCACGGAATGAGAAGAAATATTCATGAATTATATACAGAACTCTTGACTTACAATGGTTTGACTTACAATTTTTTTTACTTATTAGTAGTGTGGAAGTGATACATAATAAATTACATGAGCTACTCAAGATTTTATTATAAGATAGGCTTTGGGTAATATGATTTTGCCCAACTGAAGGCTAAGGTAAGTGTTCTGAGCATGCTAAAAATAGGAGAAGCTTCATTATGACATTCCTTAGGTTAGGTATGTTAAATGCATTTTTTTACATATATTTTCAACTTAATGGATTTATCAGGACATAATCATCCAGGAGTATCTAGTAGCCAGAATATATAAATAACTCTTACAACTGAACAACAAAACAAAACCTAATTTTAAAAATGGGCAAAGAATCTGAATATACTTTTCTCTAAAGAAGATACACAAATGCCCTAGCTGGTTTGGCTCAGTGGATAGAGTGTCAGCCTGCCGACTGAAGGGTCCCAGGTTTAATACCAGTCAAGGGCACATACCTGGGTTGTGGGCTCAATCCATACACAAATGGCCAGTAAGCACATGAAAAGATGCTCAATATTATTGTCAGGGAAATACAAATCAAAACCTAAAACTCCAATGAGCTACAACTTCACACTCTAAGATGGTCATAGTTAAAAATAACAACAACAACAACAAGTTAGCCCTGGCCAGATGGCTCAGTTAGTTGGAGTATCATCCTGTACATCAAAACGTTGAAGGTTCAATTCCCAGTCAGGGCACATACTTTGGTTGTAGTTTCGATCCCAATGGGGCACATATGGGAGGCAACCAATCAATGTTTCTCTCTCTTTCTCTAAAAATCAATAAACATATCCTTGGGTGAGGATAACAAAAAAGTTAAACAAATGGTGGTGACAATGTGGAGAATTTGGAAACCTAATACACTGCCAATGGGAATGTAAAATGGTATAGTTGTTGTGGTAAATAGTTTGGCAATAAGATAAATGTAGTGTTATCATATAACTCAGTGATTCCACGCCTAGATTTATTCCCTAAAGAAATGAAAAACAGGTGTTCATACAAACACGTGTGTATATCCACATATCTATGTAGCTACCTACCTATGTATTTGATGTTAATAGCAATACTATTCATAACAGCCAAGGTAAAAACACCCTAAGCCCAGTGGTTGATGAGGGGTTAAACAAAATGTGGCGTATCCGTATAAAAAAAATTGAAAACATTATACTAAGTGAAAGAAACAGTCACAAAGACCACAGATTAAACAATTTGATTTATTTGAAATGTCCAGTCTAAGCCAATCTATAGAGACAAAATGTAGATTAGTGGTTGCTTAGGGTAGGGCTGGGGTATGTTGGGAGAGGGGTGTGTGATAGTTAATGATATGGAGTTTTTTTAAGTGATAAAGATGTTCTAAAATTGACTGTGGTGATGATTGCACAATCGTGAATATACTAAAAACCACTGACTACTTTAAATGTGTGACTTGTAAGGTATGTGATTTTTATTTCCATAAAGTTGTTTTTAAAAAGGACACCAGAAAAATGGGCATTTTTTCAGATCTTTTATGTCTATTTACAGAAATTGAATTCATAACTAAAAACCAGCCACAAAGAAACCCATAGGCAAACTTGCTTTAACTATATATTTTCCAAACACTTAAAGAGGAAATAACAGCTATCTTAAACTCTTCCATATAACAGAAAATGGAGAACCATTTTATGAGTATAATATTGATGCTAAGACATTACATGAAAAGAAAAGTTCAGGCCAATTACCTCTCCATTAATGTATACTGAGAAATAAGAAATGAAATACTAACAAATTGAATCCAAGACATATTAAAGGGATAGTTCTTCATGACCAGGGGGGAATTATCTCAAGAATGCAATGAGTCAATATAATTCACCCCTTTAACACAATAAAGGAATAAAATTTTATTATCTCACTAGATGCCAAAAAACACTTGACAGAATTTAGTACCTATATGTGATAAAAACTTTAAGAAAACTAAAAACAGAAAAAGAATTTCCTTATCCTTTTTTTAAAAAAAAAATCCTCACTGGAGGATATTTTTTCCCATTGATTTTTAGAGAGAGTGGAAGGGAGAGGGAGAAACAGAGAGAAAGACCAATGTGAGAGAGGCACATTGATTGGTTGCCTCTTGCATGCCCCGACCAGGGCCGGATCAAACCTGGGACCCTTCAGTCCTCAGGCCAACACTGTATCTACTGAGCCAAACCAGCTAGGGCAGAATCTCTTCATTCTAACAAAGGACATATCCAAAAGAAACCAGAAATATTGAGTACTTTCCCCCTCAGGTGAGGTATAAGAAAAGGATTTCTGATATTATCACTTGTATTCAACGTTGTTCTGAAAGTACAAGAATAAAGCTTAAAAAGAAATGAAAGACATAAAGACTGGGAAAGAAGTAAAACTTTTTATTTTTAAAAGACCTAATTGTGCATATTTAAAATAAAAAAGAATCTACAAACAAGCTATTAAAATAAATGATTCGATATGAAATTAATGAATACATTTTATTACACTTTATAGATATTGTATTTATTTCCAAAATTGAAGTTAAGACCTCCACCAAAAACATTATGACTCACTGAAGGCTCAAATACTGGTTAGCATTTTTTAGCAATAAACTATTTTTCAATTAAGATATGTAAATTTTTTGACAATGCTATTGCACACTTTATAGACTATAGTTTAAACAACTTTTATATGTACTGGGAAACCAAAAAAATCAGGTGACTCGCTTTACTGTGATATTTGCTTTATTCAGGTCTAGACTCAAACCCGCAATATTTCTGAGATATGCCTGTATTTAAAAATACATTGTATTTTAATAAACCAACAATAAACAATTAGAAAATAAAAAATAGTATTATTTACAACATCAAAATAGACCAAATACATAGAAATAAATCTAATGAAACATGTGAAAGACTTCACCTCTAATCTGAAAAACTACCCAGCAGGATTTTCTGTGGAAACTGACAATACTTCTTCTTCTTTTTTTTAAATTTCTAGAGGAAGGGAAAGAGAGAGAGAGAAACATCAATGATGAGAGAGAGTCATTGATTGGCTGCCTCCTGCACACCCACTACTGGGGATCAAGCCCGCAACCAGGGCATGTGCCCTGACTGGAAATCAAACTGTGACCTACTGGTTCATAGGTTGATACTCTGAGCTGCCGCTGCCCAGCAAAGATCGTTTTTTTGTATTTTTGTTAATCCCCACCCGAGGATACTTTCTCCATTGATTTTTAGAGAGTGGAAGGGAGGGGAAGAGACAGAGAGAAACATCAATGTGAGATAGACACATCTATTGGTTGCCTCCCTCATGTGCCCCAACTGGGGTCAGGGATCAAGCCTGCAACCAAGGTATGTGCCCTTGACAGGAACTGAACCTGGGACCCTTCAGTCCATGGGCTAACGTTCTGTCCACTGAGCCAAACAAGCTAGGGTGAAACTGACAATCTATAATAATAAAAGCGTAATATGCTAATTAGACTGGACGTCCTTCTGGACAACCTTCCGGACAAAGTCGTGGTGGCGGAGGCCAAGCCCCTTGCACGAATTTCGTGCATCAGGCCTAGTATTTCTATGAAAATGCAAAGGACCAAAATTAGCCAATAAATTTTTTATTAACTTTAAGGCCTTACACTACCATATTTCATGATTTACTACAATGCAATAGTAATTATGAAAGTGAAGTACTAGCAAAGGGATAAATAACTGGATGAAAGGAATAGAATACAGTGTAGATATAGACACACACACACACACACACACACACACACACACACACACACAGTCACTTGATTGACAACAGAGGCCCTGTTGCAATTCAGTGGACAGGGGATGGTCTTTTAAAGAAACGTTATGAGAGTAACTTGATATCCATATGGAAATATGAGCCTTGACATGATATCACACACTAAAGCAATTCCAGGTGGCCAAGCTTAAATCATCAAGCATCTGCTAAAGCATAAAATATCTTCATCATCTTGGGGTAGGGAAACACCTTTCAACCATGACACACAGAGGACTACCATTAAAGAAGACACTGACACTGACCTTTGAGGACTTCCTGATTTCACAACTTAACTATAAAGCAACAGAATCAAGACAATCTACTTCTGGGTATATATCCACAAGAATTAAAGGCCAGGTCTCGAAGAGATACTGGTATACCTTTATCCATAGCAGTATTAGTCACAATAGTCAAAAGGTGGAAGAGCTTGGCCGATGTTGCTCAGTCAGAGCATGGCCCAAGCACCAAAGGATTGTGGGTTGATTCCTGGTCAAGGGCACTTACCTGGTTGTAGGTTTGTTCCCCAGTCCTGGTTGGGGCGCATGTGGGAGGCAACCAATGTGTCTCTCACATTGATGTTTCTTTCTCTCTCTCTCTCACCTTCCTTCCTGAGGTGATTCAGGAGGGACATTACCTTTACCTCAGGAGCAGTTAGGTGAACAACCCGTGTGAAATGTGCTTGAGGAGGTGACAAAAGAAGTGGGCAGAGTAGTAGAGAAGCTATTCCAACAGTTCAGTGGAGAGACCATAAGATAGGGGAATAAAGTAGAGAAATGCATTTAAAGACATTAGGTGGAACCATATAAAATTGCTATTATTTTTGACAGACTCAAATAGAAAAAGTAGCAAAACATGATTACTGACCATCATCGACAGGAGTTGAGAAAGAAAGAGTGAGAGTGAGAGCAAGGAGACCCACGGATGGATGTACCCACTTTTGTGGTTTGGGTGGCTGGCAAAATAGGGTTTACCAGGGAATAGGGAAAGATGAGGAAAAGTAGTTTGGGAAGGACTGTCAATGTTGGCTTTTACTTTGAATCAGTTGAGCTGCAGACACCTACAGAGAGATGCTGAGTCAGTTATGTCCAATGTGGTAGCCACCAGCCACATGTGGCCACTTAAAACTTAAAAATTCAGTTCCTAGCCCTGGCCAGTTTGGCTCGGTGGATAGAGCATTGGCCTGAGGACTCAAGGGTCCCAGGTTCAATTCCGGTCAAGGGCATGTACCTTGGTTGCGGGCACATCCCCAGTGGGGGGTGTGCAGGAGGCACCTGATCGATGTTGCTCTCATAGATGTTTCTAGCTCTCTATCCCTCTCCCTTCCTCTCTGTAAAAAATTAATATATTTTAAAAAATTCAGTTCCTCAGTCAAAGAAGCCACATCTCAAGTGTTCAACAGGCGCAGGTGGCTTGTGCCACCACTCTGGACAGGGCAGGTATAGCCCCTTTCCATCCTCACCAAAAGTGCCATGGTCAGAGGGGGCCGCAGGGCCACCTTTGGGAGAACGAGCCAGAGAGGGGGAGGGATGAGTCAAGACCAGTTGGAAGGGTAGTGAGAAAGGATGAAAATGTGGATGACACACGTGCAAGGGCGAGAGAAGGACAATGGCTCCGTGAGATGAGTGAGAGGCAGGACAGCCGCAGAGGAGGGGGCAGACGCTAACATGAGACGAGTTCTTCCAGAGGGAGGCGTGCGGGCAGTCAGGCGCTGCACACGGGTCTAGTGAGGTGAGGACGAGGCAGGACCCATGCGATTTGACGGTGATTAGGTCACTGGTGGGTGCAGGGCATGGGTGTGGGAGGAGAGACATCAAGGCCTCATGCAAAGGTGTGAGTGGAAAGTGTGGCAACATCTGCCAGAGAATAGAATGTTAGACTATCTGCTGAACAACTCGTTTATGGCAGGTACTTGGGAGAAATATTTATGGAGAAATATTTTAAGGATGTGTGTGTTTAGATCATTCATGCTGACCTCCAGCTAGTCTAAGAATGATTTCTGAATTCTACAGGATGGTCAGGAAAATATCTAACTTCTGTTTTAGTTACCTGGACAACTGGAAGCCCTGCATTGGCAACGTGTCCTCTGCTTCCACTGAGGAGGGAGTGGAAACAACCTCCTGCATTCATTGCAGGGACGTTATTAGAAAGATGTGCACTATCACCATGGAGACCAACAGACATTTCTTCCTGACTTGGAGGATTTTAGGTCCCATGAGGAATGTTTGGCTTACGCTTGTTATCGACACACATCTTTAAGCTAATATTGTGTGCCCGACCCTGACATGCCGATCGGAAAAGTCAGGAAGAAATGTGCAGCTGCACTTGGGAAAATCTGCGACATGAGGACATGCATCTACCTACACAACAACTCTGCTGTGCTATTCATCGGCTTTTCTCTACCTTCCTTGAATGATGCCGGCACATTTTCTAGTTCTATTTGTCCATATCAATATATGGTTCTTTAACCACCGATAAAATCCACTGTAAAAGGGTGTTAATAAATAACTCACCTGAGGCTTTTTCATTCTCTGCTGCTCTCGGAGAGTGTGGAGACTGAAGGATCAGCTGGGGGCAAGGAAAGAGGAGTGGAGCCGTGAGAGGGCTGGTGCGTGTCTGTGTCACTTGCCTAAAAGTCTCACCACTCCCGCCGGGCCGGGGCGAGGCCTGCCTGTGGGGATGTGTCACTGGCCCTTGAGAAGGGCAGGAAGCAGCACGCAGAGCCCGCGCTCCCGGAAATGCGCGTCTCTGATATGAGCGCATGGATGTCACCTTGCTATTTTTTATTGGGTGATTGTAAATTATGTTACTATTGATTTTAATGAAGTACGTTCCCTCTGACTAATGTAATTAATGATATTATTAAATATAATGGTAATATTAATCCTGTCTTGATTTTTTGTTATTTGTTAATATTGTCATTATTTACACCTTGAGTTAGAAAATCAACAGAAAATGGAAAAGAATGATAAGATACATACTGATTAAAAAATGTAAAATCTTTTTGTTCTAATTTGTTGAAATTTCTCAAAAAGCCTTTTTTTCCCCTCAGCTAAGCTTCCCTTTTTATTCTCCTCCCGATGTCTACATTCTTGAGTCAAATTTACTTATTTCTCTTGAATCTGCTTTGTTTTTGAATTTTTAAAAAATGTATTGAATTTATTGGGGTGACATTAGTTAATAAAATTATATAGGTTTTAAGTATAGAATTCTATAATAGATCATTTATATTCTGTATTGAATGTTCACTACTCAAAGTCAAGTTTCCTCCCATCACCATTTATCCCTCCTCTACCCTCTTCTACCTTGCCCTAGCTCCCAAAAGTCTTATTAAAAATAAAAAAGACTTTCGATAAGACACTTCTAGTGACTTACCTGTGACAGAATGAATAGCACAGTGCTTTGCTCCTAGTTCTGTCCTGTCGACCAGGGGACATACATCCCAGGTTCGACACTTTTAAGGTTTCAAGAGTTGGAAACAGAAATCCCTTCCTATAGTATCATTTTTTGATTGTATCTGTTCAGGATAAAGGAAGCTTCAGCATATCTCTGGGTGCCACATGTGATGGACATGATATGAGAATGGCTCAGGATCTGGGAAGAAGGAAGAAGGAAGAAGGAAGAGAATGGAGGGCTATTTCAGAAGAAGACCAATTTCCTTGGCCATGGCTGTGGCTTTTCCTGTGCAGCCAGACAGTCACCCATCGCTCTCAACCCCAGCTTCCCACCTTCTGCAGGCTGGTCCAGTTTCTGCTGTCACCTGGGCTTCTGGATGTGGGGACATCACCAAGTCTGGCTGCCTCTGGACAAGGTGACCTAGGACTGCTGCTGGTGGAGCAAATCCGGACCCGCTCTGTTCCGAGTTCTCCAGCAGCTGTTCTGAAGCTCTGGTGAGTCCCAACCAGGGTTCTTCCAGGTGGGACGCTTGTCCCTATGGCTCCCTCCTTCCTGCCACGCAAGAGCCACTTTGTTCCAGCGATGTTGAGACCTAGGCCTAGGAAGCAAATCCATTTCAGTGTTTCTCCACTTCAACATTGCTGACCCGTGGGGCTGGCTAAGTCTTTATCGTGGGGGCTGTCCGCGCAGTGTGGGCTGTCTAGCAGCAATGCCGGCCCCTACTCACCAGGTGCTAGTGGCACCCTCCTCCCAGCCGTGACACCAAACACATCTCTAGACATTTCAAAAGTCCTCTGAGGAGCAAATCACCCTAGTGACATGATCACGTTACACCAGATTCTCTTGGAATTCACTAGACTGTTCTATCCATTACTGTAGCCACTGGCCACATCCTGCTACTGAGCACCTGAAATATGGCTAGCTCCACAAGGTGAATTAAAGACATTCTGCACGTTAAGATAAAGGCAATAGAATCCTCACTTAACACCCTCGACAGGTTCTTGGAAGTGGCAGCTTTAAGTGAAATGGTGTGTCACAATCCATTTGAACACGGGCTAATTGAGATAAGCAAGAGTTAAGTTCCTATGGCATATTTCTGGTCATAAAAACACCAAACTTCTACATAAAGACCCCAAATACCTCCAATACTAAACATTGATATAAATGTGAGCTACATATGTTTTTAAGACAGATTAATGAAAACAAGTAAGATGATTGTTCTAGCCTGCTTATTCAGGTCCAGGGTGTCCAGAGCGTCCCAGCAGCTCAGTGCAAGGCAGGACCCCCGCCCCCGACAGGACACCCTTCCATCACAGGGAAGCTCACACCACACGCCCTCACTCAGGCCGGGACAGTGCAGACATGTCAGCTAACCTCACCTCACACGCCCTCACTCAGGCCGGGACAGTGCAGACGTGTCAGCTAACCTCACCTGCACATCTTTGGGGCGTGGGAGGAAATGGAAGTCCCTGGCGAAAACCCACGCACACGGGGCAGAACGTGCAAACTCCTCCACACAGTGGTGCAGCTGGAATTGATTCATTCCCCTCCTTCACCAACGTTATTACAAAGTGCTGTTGAGTTAAATGCCATTATTCAAGGGCCTGCTGTAGGTTCTTAAAATTATCTTCACATGTTTCTTTTTAGTTTTTAATGTGGCTACTAGAGCCTTTGCCATGATATCTGAGGCGCACCTTATCTTTATATTGGGCGCGAGCACTGCCCTGGGCTATCAGATTGTGCCTCTGAAGGCAGACACAGCCTGGGGTGGGGGCCAGGAGCCCCCAGGGGCTGTGGAGACATGCAGAAACCCCAGAATACATACACTTGCCGCAGAGGGAGGTCCGCTGGCACTGACTTTACAATCCCGGTGCTGGGGGTCGGGCACAGACGCGCTGGGAGTGCTGTGCAGGCTGCAGCCGGTTCAGGCGGGCAGGGCAGGGGCGGGTGCAGG